TCATACTGGACCAACAAGTGACATTGTGAATTCAGTAGCACACATTTATATTTAAAACCGTGCATTCCTCCCAAAATGCTACTTTACTTGAAGAATATGGATGTATAATAACACTGGATGAACACGTACTAATGCAAATTCAGTAGCAAACATTTAACGGTATATAAACTGTGCATTCCACCCAAAATGGTACTTTAATTGTAGAATGGCGATGTGTTATACTGGACCAACAAGTACTAATGTAAATTCAGTAGCACATCTATCTTAACTCTGCATTAATTCCTCCCAAAATCCTACTCTACTTGTAAAATATGGATGTATAATAATAATATTGGGCCTACGAATTCAATAGCATCGGTCTACTTAGTACTTTTCTGTAGAACTTGTGTGTCATCAAAGATTGTATCTGATGAAATAAAGACGTACCTAAATTTGAGCAAATTAGACTGCATTCATACAAATCTTGAGCTTCAACATGTCTCTATCTTCATAGACATTAAGAATATGATCTTTTTAATTAACACTTACATTTACCAATGTACAGAATCTCCATGAAATGGTTCCCAAGCTAGAGCTTCCAATAATAATTCAGAATTACATGTATGATGGTAAACAAGAGGACAGTGCAGCTCCACTCAATGTGGCTTGAAGAGATGTATCAATTCACATGACTACTGCAATAGATCAATTCCCTTCATATAATTTGGCACTGAAAAGCCATAGTGTGGTGCAACAGAATTCTGAGTTTTTTTTCTAACAACGTAATTTCAGAGAATAAGCAAAAACCACAGACCCCTACTAACAACTGAGAACGTTTTTAACATCTGTCCATAAACTATGCAGGTAGGCCTGGCTACATAATATAAAGTGCAATTGGTCATATGAGCTTGTTAACAATATTGCTGTCAAATGTAAAGTAAAGTTTTTGACCAAAAATATACAGAACAAACCATATATAACCCAACAAGTGTTGATTATGTTTATAAAAGAAAAGTATAATTAATTTTGTGATATAAATATAATTCATGTGTTTTTCTTTGTAATCAATATAATTTTGTGTTTCTTATGTACGTATTCTTCAATTAATAAATGATGGAGAAAAAACAAAACAAAACAAAACAAAAACCCCCAAAAGTGCTAAGTAAGGAAAAATTACAACTACACCCTTTCATTACTGACTCATTATCGTTATATTCATTGCAATTAAAATCTGTCCTTCTTTGAAATCCTTATTAAAATGATCATTCTTCCGTACCAATTTCCAGAAATTTTCTTATCACCTACAATTTTAATATTTGATCTGTAAGAAGTTGTGCTCTAATGACTCTATTATGATCAAGATCCAAATGTATCACAACATTATTACGAATTGATACGATGTAATGATCGTTATCACATCATGATCCTTAGCAAACATAAAGCAGCATGGGGGAAAAGGCCCAGAAATACAAACCCGAATATGACTCACCAAACAGAACCTTGAACCTCAAAAAACAAATAAAGTTCATCTCACCCTTGACCTACTACTAGGAAGCATATCTCGTACACTATCCGCTCATATCTCCTTCATTTCCTCAGCTACCAATTCAATAAAAGGGCGGTTGACACATGGCCGTCGTAGTTTTAACGTTTGCGGTTTTCAAAACTTTAGTCATAAACAACAACACCGACAACAACATGGATTCACATAGGACCAAAAACAAAGAGTGTTCATCAGAGTTTTTAACTGAGAGCCAGGCAAGCGGCCATTCAAACGTTAGACTGGAAGGACCCCGAACTCGCGTGACAACTCCTCACAGCTCCAATTTCAAAACTTTAAGATCGCTCCTGGCTTAAAAACTTCAAATAAACTTCAAGTTTGAAACGAAGAGTGCACTAGCACAGTCCTAATAGCACTTAACCACAAGATAACCTTAAAGTTTAAAATCACAAGCTGAATTTCGCGGACTCACATGTGCACCTACATATTATTTAGTCAACACTGAAGTACATGATACGCTGTATGTAGCGGTAGCTAGCTAACACTCAACTGTGGTTTGTATTCACAGTACAATCTACATTGAAACCAGTTTGGATTCGCTCCAATACATACCAAGGACATACCTATGACAACAGCTATTTTCCCACTACTTGGTTTGCAAGCTTCCTGTTTCTGAAATGTTTCATATTTCGTGGGAACGACAACAAAATAATATTATCTATTTCTCATCTTAACACTGACCACTTGTTCCAAAAAACTCCTATAGGTAATTTCTCTTTTTATAATTACAAAAAATCATCAAAATATGCCTTTGTTTTCTAATTAGGCTATTTCTAATGAAAACATACAATGTCTCAAAAGACATTCTTTGTGATTAGTTCTTCAATATTTTCAGGGGTGGGGTCGTCCCTTTTACATTTTGGAATTTCAAAAAAGAAATGTTCTTACAACGCAGGAGGATTTCCATTGTTCCAATGAATAATAGTTGCACTTCCTTAAATTTCATCATTCACTATCAATAACATTGCAATACTGCATCGATGAATAACTTGTTTACATTGCAAAGTATCATTATCAAGGTTTGAAGAAAGACATTCTACCAGTAATAAAGATTGGCTCTAAAACCAGGGTCCAAATATATTTATTATCTTCATAATACAGCAGCCAACATTGATCTCTTGTCTTTCTTCATGAACATTCAAGTGGATTCTTCATTGTTATTGTAACATCTAGGTTTTGTCATCGTAACATGTAGGTTATCATTTCGCAAATATCAAGGTCATCTCCAACTAGATCAACAAAATAGACAAACTTTGGACCTTTACACAAACGTGCAAAGAAGCGCATCGCGATCATTTGAATATATTGACACAATGCCTGGAATGTTTTGTGACAATAAATTGAATTGTGCTATTTCTCTCATGAGAGTTAAACAGAACATTCACCATGAATTGAATAGAAACGTGCCTTTTTTGTACATTGATCAAGAAATTATTTCAAAATGTTAAGTATTTTCATTCGAGCAGTTATTTCACTTGATATTATATATAATTCCTAGTAAACACTTCAGAAAATCTTTCTACCCTCCCCTCCCAAACCCTTTCTCTCTCTCTCTCTCTCTCTCTCTCGTTCTTTTCTCCCTCTTCCTCAAATTCTCACCATCATGATGTCACTCTTGGTTTTTCCGTTCCTATGCCACTTTTAACATATTTTAATTCTCTATCTTCTCTTGTTCTACTCCCTCCCTCCTTCACTCCCTCCCTCTCCACCCACCCCCTCCCTCCCCCTCCCTCCCCCTCACTCTTTCCCTCTCCCTCCCTCCCTCCCTCACCCCCTCGCTCTTTTCCTCCACCCCTTCCTTCCTCCTCCCCTCCCTCTCCATCTCCCTCTCCATACTTTCCTATCTTTCATGGTTTACACCATATTCTCAGTTACACCTCTTTCGCTTTCCAAACCACACAGTCATTACTCCTACTTTCAATGACCCATCAATACTAAAAACACATCCTCATCAAGGCTCTATCCTAACACTACCAACATACACGTTAATACCATGAACCCAAATAAATACAAATGCAATGGCCATATTACCTTGAAAACTCCATTCATTCACTTCTTACGGTATACAGTTCATCATGCCCGAACTAGAAGTTGCCAATTTACTGATCAGAAAGAGGTACCTGATCTCATATTCCCCAAGTGTATCCTCCATGCCTAGACTTCAATTGACACTTGCTGTATTACCCCAAACGATTATTAAATCATGTCTAAATGACATTGATAACGCCATTCATTCTCCTTTAATTAATGACAATCCATTTTTCTTTCATGAAGGTAAAGCTGCCAATTCAAGGAGTTGATCATTTAACACATACTGGTAGTATTATCTTACTACAACAAAATAACTATAGTACCTAGCTAAATGATATCATGCCAAGGCTATATATTGTGTTTCATAACTCTGTTTCTTATTACTCATATTTTATCATTACTAAATTTGGAGTTGCCAATTCAAAGACCTATCTATAACCAATAAATGATAGTGCTGAGAGTTGGAAGGTTGTTAAAACACTATGAAAAATGACATGAGTTAATACCCTCGTACTGACATTATCACCACTGCCTATTTGAAAACAGTACTTAAATTTGGAGCCATGGCAGAAGGGCTTTAAGTCATAAGCTTTAACACAGAGTTAACGTTAATTTAATTTAATCAAATTACGTTTTTTTAATATACACAAGATTATGTCATTGTTGTAACTTCCGGAGCCTATGACCTACAAGCATTGCTTTCTCTTTAGGCTCCATCATATTTCTTCTCTTATTCAACTTAGTCTTATGTATCATTCTTTTTTTTGTTTGTATAAACGCATCCTAAAATGAGTTCAAAATGTAACATGCTATATGTAATGATGTACTATATAACATGTGAGAAATATGAAAATAAACTGAAACTGAAACTGAAACTGAAACTGAAACGTCCTTCTAGCTCAGAATAGATATATTTTTCATGAATATATCAATATGTCACGCCTAAACCACATGACATTTAATATCCAATCATTCATTGCTTATTCATCTATTCTATTGAGCAATAAAATTCATATCGACCTGCCTGTGATTTGAACAGCAATATATCAATACTACAATGTGTCAATGAGGGCGACATGAAACAAAAAACTGAATGACGCCTTTATTATCACTACAATAAATTGAAGGTTAAAAGCCAGAAAGGCATTAACCCATATTAACTTAATAATAGAGAGTTAACACCCTTCTGGCTTCAAACACATAAAATGTCTCTGAAAACAAATATCAAAGGTACAAGTTCTCTTAAATGTATATCCCACTGAAACGTGCGGTGATTTAAATAATGTTTCAATGTCTCGATGGGACGTTGGCCAAGTTGAATCGTTTTTTAAAGAACACTGAACAATATCTCGAAGGAAATAATCTCTGTTGTTTGGGATATATGCGATGAATACTAGAAAAGTTCTAATTTGATGATATTGGTACTTACGTCTAGTAAAGTCCTTTCTTGCTCCAGCATGCGTTTGAATGTGTTCAGTCTTTCTGATTTCACTTGAGCGTCTTGTTGGGACTACAATTGGAATGAAGAATAGGGGATAATAAAATCATGAACATACAGGTATTAATTAAATATGGAATGATGAGTTGTTCATTTCTTCCTCCAAATCTTCAATGCCAGCCCCAAAACATGAACTCTCTTCCATTAGATGTTGTCTATTACTAAACTTCGATGTTTCTGTACAGGTATTAGATATGGTCTATTTATAGCCATAAGGGTGGTAACTGTGTTTTGATTCAGGAGTTAAAGATAAAGTTGAGTTCTGGTCATGTGATTGCATTGTGAAAGAAACGGTGTGGAATCTATCAGAAAAGGTTGATCATCTAGTATATAAATATTCGTGTGTATTGCAAGGTTCTGGAATCATCAAAATGATAAGAAATTTGGCCAAATCTTGGCAAAGTTACAAGCACTGAACACAGAATGATGTATATGGGACTACACGAGCACATGGCGAAAAAACCTCCCCCCCCCCCCCCCCCCCCCCCCGATTTTTACGATGTTTCATGTCATATTTAGAATATGAAGGCATTTGAAGAGCCATGCTTTTCAGGGAACATGTTTAATCTGATGTTCTTCCACCCTTGCATAATAACAATGATAATGCTCACAAATTATTTGTTTTACCTCTTCCCAGAACTCAACCTTCCCTTTAATGCCCTTTTGGCTCTCAAGGTCAGACAGTAACCCCTTGTTGTAAGCTACAAACACAGAGTATGGATACATACACAAAGTATGGATTCATTACAGTTCATTTTCTGGCTCTCATATAAGGTTGAAATTCAAAAGTTTAAAGGCAGAAAAATAGAAATCATTCCAAACTAGGAATGGTTGGCAGCTATGTATATATAGAAAACCACAAGTCTGGAATATATATACCATGAACGTTCCCTATGCACCCCCCCCCCTCCCCCCTCCGCCCCCCTCTCCCTTCCTTGTCCCCTCCCCAAACCTCATCATTTCTACCAGGAATCATTCAACAACATCTAATTATACTCAGCTGTGCCAGGCATATTGTCACCACCTGTCTGCATTAATATCGCACACACAGCTCGGTTCTAAATTAGGCCCAAATTGCCACCGGTTCCCGAATAACGAGCAATTATTCCAGTCTTTTTTTTCCCCCGATGAATTTGTTCAAAGTGTACTTGAATTACCTTAGGTACAAAACCATGTATTCTGTTTTATTGCCAAAATATAGCATTTTCAGCATTACTAAACCTACACTGCACTTGTGACTAATACATGGAATATTACTATCAGGATTCTAATATACATCTGGGTATAGATGCTGTGCATTTTAATAAAGCTTTGTAAATTACAAGGAAAAGGAAAGTGAGAGTAAATAAAATGGTTGTTAACATTTTGTTTTCATAATTAGCACATTTGCAGGATCCAGATCAAATGACCACACTCATTCTAGTAAATTGTACATGTAAGTGGTATTAAAGAATGAAACTATACCTGATTAATATTGTCTGTAATTATTACAAGAAAAGCATTGAAATACTGCTAGCCAGGCAAACTGTTATTGTATCATCACTACTTAGTTGCTAAGACATAAATCCTGATTTATTTCTGTGTTGCTCGATCACAAAGACATAAATCACTCATTTCATTCATCATTACTTTTAATTGCGAAGACATATATATCTTGGAATGTTATATGGAATACATGCAATAGCAATACGCTTCCGATGTTAACGCTTGCATCTGTTTAGAGCTAAAAGGGCATTAACTCTGTGTTGAATGACATGGATTACAGTCTTTCTGGCTCCAGACATTTGACTTCAGTGGCTATGTGTTTGTTAGTCCAGCAGAATGATATATGTTGATGAAATAAGCACTTGATATGAAAATGAGATTTCATTTGGTGTGACAGCATCATTTAATAATATAAAGAACAATCGTGTAAGATGATTAAATAATGACATTAATATACAGAGCAAGTTGTGTAAGATAATTAATGACATTATGTAATTTTTTTTAAAAGACATCAGCAATAAAGAATGATTAGATGTATAATAAACGTTTATAGTTACAATAAACATTTCAGTACAGATTAGGCCTATATAATATTATTTCAAAATGGCATATTGTCATTTTTCATTTTTTTTTTAAAAGTATACAGCACTCGTCACTATCGCAAAAATATCATCACATTATGCAGGGCCTCAAATTAACAACCTGTTTCCCCCCTTTTTTTTTGGACCGGGGTCGGGTCCGGAATACACGCTTTAGAATGTGCGCTGTGTAAAAAAAACATTAAAAATCAATTTGGGGAGTCTAGACTTAGATTTAGGGCTCCCATGTGTCTTGGGCACCTGTTAGTGCCGAACTCTACATTATGCTATACACTCTGTTAGGAGACAGAGGGGCGTTAGATCTGTGTAAAAACTATATCAGTTAAAACCCTACCGACTCCAAACAGACGACATTTCAATGTTTATTAAATGCACCATTGTAAATGATATTGGATGTTTCAGCAAACAAACGACATTGCAATATTTAATGCATCAATGTACATGATATCATATGTTTCGGCAACATATACGGACCTGCGAATGAAATGACCTGCAAATTAAAAGACCTGCAAATGAAAAGAAAATTAATTTAATTTTCTGCACCGTGATGATGACATAACCCCAGTATCCTAGCGAATGAAAAAAATGATTAGGAAATGAAATATACAACTGGCATGATATTAACATTAGATTCATAATGTTTATGCCCTCGCAAATCATGTGCACCCTAAACATTATGACCTTCCCACAGCATCATGTGTTGAAAGCTAAATAGGCATAAACTCCATGTTAAAAGCAGATATGTATTAATGCCCTTCTGGGTCTCAGCAGCCAGTACATTGAATCGTGTATTTCAGTTTTGACTTGTACCCACTTTCAATATGTTTGTTGTCTTGATTTGTGTATTGTATAATGTTTAGTAACAAATATATTTCATAAAGTTTATTATCGAAAAAGGGTCAACCTTTATATAAGGATCGTTTCCTTTCAGGTTGCAACCTATTCAGTTCATTTCATGTCCTTGTCCATATGTTCTCAATGTGTATTTTATGTAGCTGATTGTTATATGTAAAGCTGTCTTTTTAACTGAATGAAATAAAATTGAATTGAATTACGTAAATGAAAAATATTAGTGTCAGCCTCCGCTTTCATGTGAGCAACTCCTGCATGATTAATCTCTTAATGAACATTTGAAGGTGTCAATGAGCTTTCCACTGGCAGCAAAGCAACTAGTCTCATCCCAAGCGGCCATACTATCAACCCCGCAGTTCAAAGGTCAATTAGTCTCCTCCAAGCAGTCCAAGCATCAGCTAAATTAACAGGTCAAAGGTTACCGTTCTGTGCGTGCGGGCCGAGATGTAATTTCGCTGCATGCGAAGAGAGGGCGCAGGAGATTGGCTGCCGTGTGGCTGGGTATTACTCCTGCAACGGTTACAGTCGCAAGACTCTTCGTGGTGTATGTTGGTCGATCTGCGAAGACCCATCTACAAGTATGTACAATCATGGAAATACAAAGTATCAACTAGGAGCAAAAAACGGTAATGAGAAGTAAAATGGAATATCTGATAAAAGATGTGAATCCTCTGTTGCATTTCACCAGCTTTGATGTCTTAGACCTATGAAAATAATTCAAATATTAGCTGTGAAAGAGAATAATCAAGCATACAATGATATTCTTAATCACAAACATTATGTGTGAAAACACATCTCCTCATCAGGCATCATCAATAGTACACAGTAGTTAAAAAGAATCGTATTCAAAACATTTTTATCTAAACTGAATCTCAGGAGTGGGCATACCGAATTTTAGTTGCAAATCTCTAACTTCTGTAAAGCAAAAAACTGTTGCACATTGCTACAACAAAAAAATCAACGTTGTACAATTCAATCACTTTGTGATATGAAATATTTGCTGATATAACAACTTCTGGAAATAGCAAAAGTTTCATGCACATGATGGTGGCTGATTTCACAATACAGTTCGACTTTACGGCCTCCAAGATGATGGATGAAAAGAAATCTTTGTACTACGCTTATGGCTCCACTCATCACTCTGGAGTGGAAGCATATTTTGATGAATTACCAATGTTAGTTGCCTTTCTTTCGGTTTACTTAAGGCCTGTCTTCATCAACTAGCTATTTTCAGACTCAGATATTATCCCCAAGCTCGAAATTGCTTTCGCTAATTCCAGAATAGCTGGATATTTTGGAAACAAGACCAAGATTTCTTGCGATATTTTCTTGACCAAATATCTCGATAATTGCAACTGCGGGCTGATGAAGACGCAAATTGGCTGGATAATTTGCGATCGAGAGAGTTAAAATAGCGGATCATTTAGCAAACTCGAGCTGATGAGGACAGGCCTTTAGAGACTTGGAGCGATCGTTAAGGCCAGTGAAGTTTATTTCTATAAGGAGCAACGGTTGCTACAGACCAATCCTCTCGGGTTCAAGAGCATCACGCGAAACAAGCTTAGTGGGACTGTGATAAGGGACATGATTGATGAATGGCTCAAGAATAACACTTTACTTGCTTGGGGATCGGTAGGTTGGTTTAGTTGGTTGATAGTGTATTCATTATGAAAACATAGCACTGCAAGCTACTCATATAAGTCTTGACGAAAATTTTGTTTTTGTTTTATTCGTTTCCTTTCCTCCTTTATCACAGGTGCTTTTTTCTGATTTTCTTTGAAAAATAAAGTGATTTCCAAGAATGTGAATTTCATTGAAGCCTTTTTTTGTATTTTGTTTTTATGAGATTGATGGAAGGGGGGGGGGGTTGAGATTTCCAGAGTTAAACGGTATATTCCATCACAACTTCAAAATAAAATGTCTGAAACCATTTATTTTTTGTTATACAGGTATCAAAAGCTGCCTGTAGATTCACTTTGAAATTGTTATTGTGTGAGTAAAGAAATTCAGAAGAGCATTAAAGATATTCAATAGTTTAATTGTATGATGCTTGTGAACAAGTCATAACTACTCAAGTGATTACAACTTCATTTTCTCTGCTACATACACCAATTGATAATTCAGCAAAATATTGAGCTTTTAGATAATACATGTTTACAGTCAGCTTAAAAGATTATATACAATAGTAATTAACAGATAAACACGCCGTACATGTTATTTTGTGCACAGTCAACCTTTAGCTCAACTGCTAGATATGTATGAGTATATCACGTTTTTTTCTAGATTTCTACAGCATTGTAAACATCAATATACAAATTTATTCACAATTGCAAAGTAACTATCGTCTGTTTGGAGCCAGAAGGCTATTAAGATTTAATGCCCTTCTGGCTCCAAATAGACGATATATGCTACTTTTAATTTTTCTCTCATTTCTAAAACTAGTACATGCATGCAGGCATGGGTGGGTCTCCTTCGACTTTTTACACACTGGAGGCTAGATAATATAATTGTAAAATAATTGAAGTTAAATAAGTTTAGATAGAATTATGGCAAAAGAATTGAAGAAAGAGGGGAACAGATGAGAAAGGTTGAAGAGAGCTGGAAAAGTTTTACAAATGGATAAAATTTTGATTATATATATATATATATATATTGAGGGAATGGAATAGGTTTTGAGTAAACATGCAAGTTATTCTTCTTTGGAGGAAATGAGGAGGGAGGGGCAGCGTTTGTTTATATGGTTGCTATGGTGTGAATGTTCAACCTGAGCGGTCCAGCGAGAATGGCCATGAAAGGAGGGCTCCCTCTTGAGTCCTGCCGCAGTGCAAACTTGTGCGTATTTCCCCACCAGCCCCGAGGAGATAGAGGAGGAGGAGCAGAGAGGGCACTCGCAAAGGTCGTCGTACGACGTAGCACTGACCTCGTGTTGGACGATGTTGTAGGACCGTGTGCGGTTGGAAAACAAGCTGAAGACGGTACCCTTAGAGGGCTGCTGAGGTCGTTTAAATGTCGCAGATGGGTTTGATAGTGGTCGTGGTATGAAGATATAAAGAGATGATTTTATACAAACATGCATGACTTCTTCACATAGTAAATCGATACGTAAGGAATGAAGCATGCACTGAAGAACAATCAGGAATTATTGTTCTTCCAAAAGAAAACAAAATTCAGAGTCAAAACATCATAACCCTATCACATCATCTTTATGTTACCTAGAATTGTAGTAGCATTATATATAAACCCAACTTTCAATAGAATGATTTTTAAACTTCACTAGAGTGACTTCAAACTTGCCCTGACTTTCTAATATTTTAGAGGGTTTATCATTGCCAGGATGCGAGGATCAAATATACATGTAAGTCAGGTTGGGGAGAAGTAGAAGTATTTTTATGCACTTATAATTTGGAGGATGGGTTTTAAACAGGAAATGAAACACTATTATCTGTAAATAATGTGTATTCACTACAATCTAAACAAACCAGTCTTCATCATCCATAATAGTCTCATTAATAAGGGATAATTACAATTTTTCTTTTATGTGAGAGTATATCAATGTCACTTCAAACTGATTAATTCATCAGAAATATGGACCATAATAAGATTCTAATCGAAAGCGAAACTTTTAAATGACACAATATTATTATGACCATGAAATATCTCTCATTATAAATATAGATATTATGTTTCATTATAATACTTCTATATCCTCCTATAAATTCCTTTTCCCCTCTTCTTCCTTCCCTTCCCTTTTTTCTTTTTTCTTTCTTCTTTCTTTCTCTCTCTTTCTTTCTCTCTCCCTCTCTCTCTCTCTCTCTCTTTATCTCTATTTATTTATATATCTCTCTTTCTCTCTTTCACTCTCTCTCTTTCCCTTCAAAACAAAATATGAGCCTATATGACACAACATCAGCGACCATAACTCATCATTAACACATCGACGCACTGCATTAAAAATGAAATGTGTCATAAAACAATGGAGCAAAAATGTCATATGATTCATGTATACGACAAAGGCAATGTGGATACAAATGAACATGTATGATTCATATACATTGGCATGAGAATGTGTCATATGGATTACTGTAATAACAGCATGCAATCAATATTATCCAAGTTCAGATATATAAAGTGTGAGTCAAAAAAAAAGTTTACACCTAGAAAATTGCTTATTATTTTAAAAACCATCTATGAAAAGTGATACCAAATGATTTGGGATGAAACACTCTTTCATAAGATGTATAATAATTTACTTTTCATAGTTGATTTTTAAAATAATTAGTAATTTTCTAAACTTTTTTTTGGACTCACACGGTATATGTACATGTACAATGTAACACTTAGGCACTCTGTGGTAATATGCCTCACTCATGTAACTTTTCTGATACTTTTCTGAGCCTTCACTCAATATTCAACAAGGATCTAAATACAATACAATAATACAAAATATAATGAAATTGTGTCTTCTGAACAAACCAACTAGCAAAAATGAAATCCAACCTTCCTACATAAGGGCATATCTAGAGGTGTTGTGGTCGAGTGGATACGTCACTTGACTGTGGATCACCTGGTACGCAGTTCGAGTCCCGCCGCGGCACAAATGTCCTTTGGCAAGACATTAATCTTCATTTGCCACACTCAACCCAGGTGATGTAAATAGGTACCTGGCAGGAATAAAATTCCTTGAAATGCTAGAGCACCATAACGGCAGCCATGATAAAGTCAGGGTAATAATTGTGGAGCGCCAGGAGTGTCAAGTCTGACAGACATGAGCGCTATACAAAAACCCACTTTATTTATTATTATTATTTGGGTAAAACTTTGTACGCAGCTGCAGACTAGATTCTGTAAACAATCACTCTTATACTGCATCAAACATTATTTATCAATGTAGAACTTGCATTTCGACGTAGGCGTTTTTTATGTAATTTCAATCAATAATAATAATAATAGTTTGTCCTTATATAGCGAATTTCAGGACCGCAAGCCCTCTCAATGCGCTTTTACAGATATATATTAATTACCCGGTCATCGGATTCATGCTTACCCGCACACAATGTATGCACATTCTTCACTCCCTGGGGACCAATTACTTAATGAGCTACAATATATACTTACATTAGTGGGCTGAGGCGAAGTTACTGTTTGTCTTGATGATGCGTGCCGGCTTATGCCCGGGGTAGGGCCGGATGGGGGTGAAGTGGGAGGCCCAGGCGGTTTACCAAGTAATGTTAAAGCTACAAACGAACCAGCTGCATTACAAAGGAAAGAAAAGTCAATTGAATGGGGTTACTACACTGGTAATGGTATGCTGTCAAAAGAGTACATATAATCAAAATGTTTTATACATAATAATAAATAATTTAAGTGTATTATTCCCCCCCCCCCTTCCCCTCCCTTTTCCCCCTCTCCTCCCTCCCTCTCCCTTTCCTCCCTCCCTGTCTAGAGCTCTATTCAAGGCACCAAAAGTAAAGTTCTTGTCAAGTTCTGTAGTACTAAAACCTCTCTATACTTCTGGCCATTTTTGTTTTCTTTAACAAATAGATGTGATCTCAGTGATCCCAATTATTTTTAAGCCCCATAAACGTCACTGTGCGACAACATATAAGAACTACACGTATATACAGTCAAACCTGTCTATAGCGACCACCCAAGGGAGGCACAAAAAGTGGCTTTTGTAGACACGTGGTCTTTGTAGACAGGTTCCTTTAGTTCATGATTCAATGAGAAACCATTTTCAAGGGAAACAACAAATGAGGCCTTTGTAGACAGGTAGTCACTAAAGCAGGTTTGACTGTAAATGGCTATTATCATTACCATTATTAGGAACAATAAATACCCAGAAAATGCTGAGGATACTCACATTTGATCATTTTAACGACCTCCACATGGTTGGATGATGTTACCAAGGTACCGTTAACCTGCAAGATATAATAAAAGAGATTGCAATGTTTAGAGACACTGTAACGTTTAAATCTTGGGTTTCCTGGGAGAAGTTTAAATTGTTGAAAAGAAATTTTCTGGCTCGCACCCAGTAAATTAAAGATTATGTACTTGATCTTGTAATTAAAAACAAGTCAGACAAAATCTTGGAACCAGCAGGATTTGGACCTGCAATCTACTGCTTGCTGGGCAGCGACTCTACCACCAGGCCATCACTGGTCCATGGCACGGTCCCGATGAACTGGAAACAAACACCTCAGCTCTCCAGATTCATTCTGACTTATTAATATGTATAAGTCCGTCATTAAGACAATAGTTTTAAATGTTGGGTTTCCAGGGAGAAGTTTTAATCATTGTCAAGAAATGTTTTGGCTTGCACCCAGTAAATAAAGATCGCGTGCTCGATCTTGTAATTGAAGACTGCACTGTTAAGTCATTTCACATGTAAGATAGAATACAAAAATATCAATGTTTAGAGCCATTGTACCATCCACCTGCACAAAAAAAAAATAATGTTTAGAGTATTTTACTGTTTACTTGCAAGATACAAAAAAAAAATTCAATGTCAAGTTAAGTTCATTGTACAATGTTTATGCAAGACAACCAGGCAATAGTTGAATGTTTAAAGCCATTGAACCATTCACCTGCAAAATGGAACCAGAAATATATCAATGCTTATCAGAGAACAAAAAGGATTTTACCACAACTCCTCTGACAATTGCTCTGCAGCAATTTTCTTATACTAACTGAATTCCTGCCTTCACATCAGACCCAAATAGGACATCGAACCATAACCTGAAAACCTATTAAGTAAAACTCAATTGCTATACTAACGCTAACCCTTACCCTACACTTTAGACGAAATACATGCCCAGAGCAACTGTCACCGGAGTGGATATCAGAACCTCTAATCGGAGAGCAAAAAATATATATGCGTTTCTTGGAGAACAATAGGTTGTGGGTATTAAAGAAATTATAGAGAGTGTGATTAATTAATAATCTACTAATTAACAGCCAGGAGGGCGTTGTGTCATGAGCATTTACATAGAGAGACTACCGGTACCCTTTTGGCTCTCAACACACGACAGCATATCGGTTTCAATACACTTAACAATAATTATGATCGATGACTAGTACAATTGAAGTAGTGTCTTATGAAAGGCATTAGTCAATGGAAGTCCCGTTTCGTTCACTTCCAGCTTGGTGTCGCACAGACTAATAAGGGTCATTTACCCGGTAATAGTTTCCAAGATTAATATGAACAGCTTCAATTCATATGTACTTTTGCATGACAGATCTGGCCATCAAGGGTCCATGTTTAGGCTTCCACTCAAAACCACAGAACATAATAATGTGAGTTGCCGTAAATCGAGGTGTAACAAATAAATGCAATATTTCAGTTCGATTTAAGTATTTTAAATCGAAAGAATCTCTCATTTCAATCTCATTCTAACAGAAGAAAGAACAATATATCTGCATTAGCGGATCAAGCCAGCATTATCTGGTAAAAAATGAATTCTATAGGTATCACTATCCCAATCAAGATTCCTTTCCAGATGGAGTTATTCCAACGTTGATCTCTTGAAGCTGATCAACTTGGGATGAGTTTACATAGTCTGCGGACACAGTCTCCACTGTGACGAAGCAACAGGAGCAAAGCCCTAGTTATTGATGGTGGCAGTGTTAGGACCTTGTGCAAGTGAAATCCTACAAGCCTAGGCCTGTATTTAATTCAATAATTATGTCAGAAATATTTAATATTTTACTCAGTTTTTCGACTTAGGTAAAATACTTAGCCAACTTCAGCATTCAGTTGATACTTTTGGCTAAGTATCTTACAACAGCATCCTAGCATCTTTAAGCCAATAATTTTGGAAGCATCGATTGGCAGGCTTATGGTTTTCATTAACAGTCATCAAAAGTTGAGCACATTCATATTAGCATGCAGTTAATGTGACACATTAATTGCGCATTACTTCTGATTGATCATGTGACGTCCCAATGCTTATTGGTAAGTAAGTCCGCTTGCTAAAGTAAAATACTATGATATGATCTGAATGTGATTTCAGATATTTTACTTAGCCAAGCCAAATGCTGTATAAAATACTTGCTTAATCTGCGTACTGAATTGAATACCGCCCTGGACTCCCAGGCAACATCAGATTTCCATCTGCTCCGAGCGAATATGTTTCTATGTGAGTTACTGTAAAACTAGGAACCCCATTCCGCAACATGAAAATGTTCGCCAATTGATAACAGTGGCTGCTTTTGCAACAAGCTTTCACAAATCTGATCAACTCACAAAACTTGTGGGAGTTATGTGTATGTATAGAGTCGAACAACATCTAATAAAGACATGTTTTTATAAAGGGAAAAAGGTGAAAGTATCTTCTTTGCAAAGATTACTAGTGTGAGAGGTCAATAGATTTAGTTTATTGTATGTATTCTAGAGTTGGTCCAACATGGCTGACCTGGAAAGTTAAAATATCCCCTTGTCTGCAAGCTAGGCTAAAAAGTCTTTGAGCTAGTACAGGGAAAGATCGGAAGACACTGGCAACATATCAACTCCATGGCCGAGGGGGCTTCTCCTAAACCCTGTTATTTTTGCCGTTTCAATTTCCGGATGAAACACATGGTACGAGGGGAGGATGTCAACGTGCCTAAGAGATTTAAATGTTGCTATATTGGAGAGGAGGGCTTTCGAGGAGGACCTTACATCAACATTTCATTATGAACTGGGTTTAAGGAAGACTGCTCTGCGCTCTCATCACCAGAGTGTCTTCCGCAGGATTTTCAAGAGAACAATATCGGAACGTTTACTCGCTGAAGAGTCCAAACTATAGTTACTCAAGACAATGTTGGCTAATTACTCCTTTCACAATCAGCCAATACCATTTCACTTATCATTTAATTTTTTGAAAATGAGAAAGACACAACAATTGAGCAAATAAAGAATAGATGCATTTTTTATAAACATATTTTTTTAACCTAATTGTATTCATATACTTTCTTTTTGAAATCGAAACAATCAAAAACAATTATAAACTCTAACAAATGGGTATGATAAAACAACTAAACCCCAATGCACAGATCACTATTAGTAAAACTATAGCCCACCCCCCAAATCTCAAAGCTCTTAGTTTGCCATTTGACTAATTCTATTACATATTTAGTTGGTCATCTCTCTCTGGGTTTAGAAAAATGGGTAATCATACAATGTACCTGTAAAAGTTTTTAAAAAAATCTTTGACACATGGACCATAAGAATACATACTTGAGCTTCATCCTCAGATGGGCTTTCCGTCTCCTTGTTCTTTTTAGTTTTCTTCTTGCGATGAGAAAATGCCATAGTTACGATAGGTAATGGCAAAAGTCAGTCCAAAAATCAGAAATACAATGGCGTAGTCAAGAATATGATATGACGACTCCTTGCAAGCCTGTTCAACAGCCACCACTATGCTTCAAATGCAGCTTCGGAATACCACAGCATGCTTGTTAATTATCCACATTAAGGGGTCCAAGGGAGTACATTCCAAATTATTCCACAATGCATAAAACTGACAATCCTGTACAACACGATGAACGTTCACTTCATAATTTCACCACTAGCATGTCCGTGGTACAGACAAAGAGAAAATCTTGTATAAGAATAATTATATATTTCATCTGTCTTTTGTCTTTCTCTAATAATAGTCTGGCAACATGACAACATTGTCGGATATGAATTTCTGAATCCACGTTGCGTCAACCCTCTGGAGTATTGTGCTTCCTACAAAACGCGGAGTGAACATTACACAGAAATCTTGCTTGTTTTCACATGTGTTACTAAGCTCCTGCTGAACAGAGAGATACAATCCAGGGGGGTGTTTCACAAAACTTGTCATCAGTGACAAATTACAGTTTTTGTTATAAGCTACTGAAATCCTTACTTCTGATTGGTTATCAGCAGATTTGTCACTGATTTTTGTCATTTGTCATTGAAAAAAGGCTTTATGAAACGGGTCCCAGATCTAGTCTAGTCCTCGAAATCCTAGCAAGGGCGCATCAGTGATGACGTGTTTTTTAACGTTTCAAGTTTAAAGAGATGTCAGAGCAAATTGAGCAAACAGTGTCGAGTCTGAACGCAAAAGGTGAAGAATGAAATCTGACGTTTTAAAGCCCCTCTACAGATCTTGACTGGAGTGCAACAGTGAAAGCAGGTTGAGCAAAGCAAGTTGAGCAAAGCATATGAGTCTGGATGCGAAGGTGTACTAATGAGGCCAACAGATATTGTATAAACCCCTCTAAAGATCCAATTTGTGGTGCTTCGGTGATGACAGGTTGGTTACAGAAAAGCCAACGCAAGTCCAGCAAAGCATGGAGTGTGAATGCAAAGGTGAAGTAATGATTCCAACAGACACCGTCTGGTTGTTCAGGTTTTAACAAAAGCCAAACGCAAGTCCAGCAAAGCATATGGCGGTCTGAATGCGAAGGTGTAGATGATGGCAACAGTATGTGTCAGTTCACTTCAACAACAGAATCCAATCCACTTGATTCAGCACAGCATGTGAACTTGACCTCACTAAGTATTGACTCAATGTAAGCATTGGTAACAAATATAAGCCATCCTGCCAACAATGACACAAGCCAGTTATGAAGAAGCAGAAAATCAGGTTTTCCAAGCACTCACAATATTTAGTAGGTGTGTCAGTAGTTCGTCATTGTCGACAAAAAGTTCAACAATAGCACATTCATACGATGATGTTTGCAGTAGAAAAATATCCACAGTAACTGGTGCAGTCAGTGACTTTGCAAATACACAATCCAGAAGAATCTATGAAATAGAGGAAAAGGCATTGTATGCACTTTAGACTACATTCATGTTCCTTTGGTTCCCCACCCCTTGTTCTATTCATGTGATGATTCAGCTGAAAATAATGTGGTTCACTTCACATGTCACAATCATTGTAACAGGGAACTCCCGAGAAGTCATTCGGTG